TCAGTATTTTGCTTTTTCCATTCAGGTTAAAGCAACTTGCTTCAATCCAAATTATTTTTTGTTCAATCTTCTTAACCGCAACAAATGTTAGCCTTCTGTCAGTTGTCCCTAATACACAGCACCAAAACATCATCCTGGCATCGAATGATTATTGCCTCACTCAAGCCCTATAACTATTATCAGATGATTTTGAGAGGATCTTCATTCGATTTATCACCTGTTGGAATATGAACAAACCAAATGACAATCATCCATATAACTGATTTTAGATCGATTCGCGAAAACCAAAGTAGACATAAATTAAACATAAAATAATCGGATAATCGTACTGTTTCCAATTAATTACTAAATTGAAATTATATTATCGATTTTCGGATGAAAATCAGGTGCACAACAATAAGTTACTTTACAATTTATTTATGATTATATTATTTACAAGTTGTGATTTAAACTGAACTGGCGGGTCCTTGAGAGACGAATGACGATGGCGAGGTAGAGCCAATTGAAAGGCAAAGATGTTTTATACAGCAGATTGATGTTGGCTTCGTAGACAGGAGTTGTCAACGATGTCATTACAGGAGCGATTGCTCGAACTCGTGGGAAACGTATCCGTAGGTTGCTATGGGGCCTGGGAAATAATGGGAAAACTTCATCATAGTCTCATCGTGCATGTGCGTCTGGAAGGAAACTTATCTTCTGGTCTCGTTAGTAAAATTGGTCGACCACGACGTTCTGGATGATCCAGTTGCGCTGACCGTTCCGAATGCTGACACTCTTGAACATTAAATGCATGTGGGTTAGCAAAAATGATACGTATACTTACATCTGAGCATTTCAATTCTCTTATGACCTTTGAAAATATATAACAACTTTGCACTCAAGTTTTCACATAACGTGTGTTGCCATTTTTCTTCGGTTATAAAAGATTTTATAGTTGAAATCAAATGATTTTAGCTATGGGACTATCTCAAATGATATTCCATTCGTTTCCATACTGAATGTTTTTCATTATATCTAACATATTTATTGCTAACGAAATACATACGAAAACGTGTTAATATTAATTCACCAATCATAAGAGCATCACATGCTTCCGAATAGAAAATCATCCGACTGATTTTGTCATACGGTTTTCAGAAACATTGAAATTGGATGCAACTGAATGATGTTTCATTCTATAAATGGAAGGTGATTTGGTTCAGTGTAACGAATCAGCAATAGAAATTTGCCAAAAGGAATAAGGAGATTTCTATCCGTGTAGCGAATCTCGGCGGTATACAATTTTCACACTGCCGTACGAAAATCGCAGTAGACCGCGCTTGAAATCTGACGTGTTTTTCTTTTGCTGCGTATTTTTCGTCAGCAAATTAAACTTTTATTGCTTTGAATTTGTTAATTTATGTGCTGAAATTTAGTTTCAAGTGTTCATAAAGTTATCATTTAGTGATATATAGTGTTTTTCCTGTGTTGAGGCGTAAAGTTTTGAAGCCAAATTTGATAAAAAAAGAGGGAAGAATATAGCAAGTTGTAACGAACTCCGATTTGAGCGTTACATTGTCTTAGTCCTTGCCGTTGAAATTTGGTTTAACCTATGTTAGCCTACAAACCACATAAGCGCCACTCCGATTTGGAAGACGTTTGAGGAATGTTTAGTTCAGGGATGCCCGAGCTGAAACTCTGATTCTCTAGGCGAGTTATTGTTGTTACCAAACCGAATACTACGACGTACGGAAATCTTGAGTCCAGTTCAAATTCAATCCGTGGACCTAGTCAAACACGACGTAAATTAAAAAGTTAACCGACTTACTTGAGTTACCCTTAGTGGAAAGTAAAAACAAAACCTTTCAAGGTAAAGAAAAGATTTAATACGACCGATAAAGAATTAGGTCCTAGCGAATTTCAGCTTAAAAGAGTTAGATCTATTTATCTTCGAGATCATTATCTTTTCAGGGTGAACAATTCTTACCCTAACGCCAACCAGCTCGTGATTGGCCGATTTGAAGTGCGAACTTCAAAGGCATTCCCTGCTGTGTTCAACGTTCTAAGCACAAGATAGGAACTTGTGCTATCAAACTGTGTGGCAAAAATAGCACCAAATGCATCTGCGTAGGCGTGGTTATCAAAAGAGAAAGTCGATGAAGAGAATCGCTCAAAGCAGATAAAGGGTGATACGGTCAAAATTTGGTCAATATCAACTTGACGTATTTCTTTCAATTTTGCATTTAAAAAACCTGAACACCCCTCATTTTGAAGGTGTGTGTGTGTAGAATGTTGCTCCTATTTTGATTTTGGAATTCACTCTTCAGTTGTCAAAATGCCGTCCAAGCAAGAAGAGCAGCGTATCAAAATTTTGCTCGCGCTTCGCGAAAATCCGAGCTACTCGCACGCAAAGTTGGCAAAATCGCTAAAAGTTGCCAAATCAACCGTTACAAATGTAATTAAAGTGTTTGGAGAACGTTTGTCGACAGCCAGGAAGTCTGGATCGGGGGGAAATCGAAAACCGGAAGCCACTGAGACGACAAAGAGAGTTGCCGGTAGTTTCAAGCGAAACCCTAACCTCTCTCTCCGAGATGCCGCAAATAAGCTGGGTGTATCGTCTACAACCGTGCATCGAGCCAAAAAACGAGCCGGACTATCGACTTACAAGAAGGTAGTGACTCCAAATCGCGATGATAAACAAAATACGACGGCCAAAGCGCGATCCCGGAGGCTGTACACGACGATGCTGACGAAGTTTGACTGCGTGGTAATGGACGACGAAACCTACGTCAAAGCCGACTACAAGCAGCTTCCGGGACAGGAGTTTTATACGGCAAAAGGAAGGGATGTTTTCAAGCACATGAAACTGTCAAAGTTCGCAAAGAAATATCTGGTTTGGCAAGCCATCTGTACCTGTGGCTTGAAAAGCAGCATTTTCATAGCTTCCGGGACTGTCAACCAAGTAATTTACGTGAAAGAGCGTTTGAATAAACGTCTGCTGCCTTTCCTGAAGAAACACGGTTGTTCCGTACTGTTTTGGCCGGATTTGGCATCTTGCCATTACGGTAAAAAGACCATGGAGTGGTACGCCGCCAACAACGTGCAGGTGGTTCCCAAGGACAAGAACCCTCCCAACACGCCAGAGCTCCGCCCAATTGAGAAATACTGGGCTATTGTCAAGCGGAACCTAAAGAAGACCAAAAAAACTGCTAAGGGCGAGCAGCAGTTCAAGGCAAACTGGCTTTCTGCGGCGAAGAAGGTGGACAAGGTGGCTGTACAAAATCTGATGGCAGGGGTCAAGCGTAAGGCCCGGCAATTCGGATTTGGAAAAGCGGAAGCCTAACTGAATATTTTTCCTGAATTTTATACTAATTGAACTTGAAAAAGAAATTTAATTTGATTTTTTAAATAAACGATTTCACCGATTTACACGCGTTTTCCCTTGACCAAATTTTGACCGTATCACCCTTTAGGACCATTTCGACAGTGAGCATGCATAAGGGCGTATAAGCGATGATCGATTCTCTTCAACGATTTTCTCTTTGCATTGCTACAGCTAAGCGAAACAATTTTGTAGAATTTGTTCAATGTAGAGTTGTAACAGGTTGTATTGGCTATCAAAAGCAACAGCAAACGCACCGACAAACGTTAAATCTAGCGAGTTATTAACAAAAGAGAAAATCGAGGAAGAGAATCGATCATCGTGTATACGCCCTTATGAATGCTCACTGTCGATTTGAAATATTCATTTAGGCTGTGAACCATTTGCCGAGTTAAATTTAACTCGTGGTTAAAAGTGACATTTCGAAAGTTATTTTCTATGTTCGAAAATCCCCGTGCTGTCGATCGACCGGTTTTCGAGCCACGGTTTTCAAAATTTAACTTCTTGTCTGTCAGAAATAACCATGCTCGGATAGCAGGGTTCATCGATAACTTTCCATCTGTCAAATTTTAACCAAAAGTTAAAAAATCCACCAAATGGTTCAGAGCCTTAATAGTAAGAGGCCAGTTGTCTCCTCTTCCTCTTAGCTTTGACTCCGCTTATAGACCTTTTTGACGTTTATTCGTTTGTCTCCTTCTACCACACAAGAAAGAGGTGATGGTTTGTTTTCCCACTAATCTGATTTCCTCTTGCTCGCACTCCTTCATTCTAAATGGTGCATTAGTGTGCGCCGATTAAGGGGTTACGCCTACCTGTAAACTTTCAAAAAATCGATTTTTTTTTAAATTGTCCTAATCGAAAGTATATAAAGTCAAGAATATTTCCTCAAAAGATCAAGTTGATCCGATGAAAATTGTGAAAGTTATGCGACGTACAAAAATATTCACTTATAGTGGACTAAACCCAACTTGAAACTTTAAACGCGATTATCTCGGAATCATATTTTCAAAACCGGTGCCAAAAATTTCTCGAAATGTATACATTCGATTCGTCCGATTCGTTTTGATTTCTGTTCAGTACTATTTTGTGCAGTCCACGATCGTTCGGATTTCGTCTATCATTTAATTTCGATTTTTTACAGCCGATCAAAGACAAATTTTAAGGATCAAAAATCGGCACTTCAACTTTGCAAGGCCGCCATTTTGTCAAAAAAATCAAGGACTAGTTTAACACACACTAGCTTAACGATTTGGCATGATTTGGCATTTGGGCACCAGGACCTCGTTTTTACAGCATCGACTGATAAATGTACCATTTAATGTGTGTTCAATAAACGGCAGAAAACCGATTTTCAATATGTTGCGTCGTTTTCGAGAAAAAAAATTCAAACTTTCGCTTTTTTTCGGTCTTACAGGTAGGCGTAACCCCTTAAACGTCAAAAAGCTCTATAGTGATTGCTGAAGTGTGATTGTGTCACTGATTTGTTTACACCAGGAAAATTTTCCCGCTATGATTTTTTTTTCTCCTGATGAATACATTTTGCGTAAACCAACCTCTTTTCCGTGAATATTTTCAAAACACATTCTGTCATGTACATAACCTCTAAAAGCATTTTTCCCCCTTCTCATCTACCCCCCAGGCAAAGAAACCAGTATCCCGACTGCATGGACAGACTCCCGATCGCAGCAAAGCCCAGTTCTCCCCTGCCAGTTACTCTCCAATGTAAGTTTACATCATACCCCCTTTCCCCCGAACTTCTCTTGATATTCCCACTTCCCTCCTCTGCAGCACCTCCAAGAAATCCCAGGACCAGGATGGACCGAACAACTCCGGCAACGTGGTCTACACGTTCGGCAGCGGGCAGCTGCTCAAGCAAATCAGCTGGTCATCGGCCCCAAGCCGACGCCCCCTCGCCATCGAGGTTCCTCTATTCAAAGGGAATAACCTAACGGACGGTGGTGCGCCGGCCTCCGGAACTAAATTCATGAGCGACGAATGCAAATATATGTACGATTCCAGCTACGACCGGGTGCTGATCCTGGGCGATCGAATCTACGAAGGTGGAAAGCAAATATGCCAAAGGCTGGCTGAACTACGCCTGCAGGAGAAGCTGACCCAGCAAAGTCAGCAGCCGGAATCGGCGGGAAGCGAAGAAGAGATCGCCAAAGATTACCGAGAAGCTTGTATGGTGGAAGAGGTAGCCATCCATCACGTGGACTATCCCAGTACCGATGTGATCAGCGTGATGGGTAGGATCGTGGTGCACCCAGAACGGAAGGACGATCGGTTGGCGATCGTAGATTTCGATGAGATGACCTTAAGGTACACACAGCTGGATTTCAGCAAGATGAAGTTCTGGTCGGTTTTCCCGGGGGAAACGGTCGTTCTGGAGGGAGTCAACCCACGGGGGAATGCGTTCGAAGTTCGAAAAATACACCACGAATGCAAGCTGGAACTTCCCCAAGCGCCAATGCAGCTCGGACGGGAGCTCAAGATGGTGATCGCCGCTGCTCCCTTTACCGATAAGGAAGACCTTCTGTACGAAAAGCTATCCGACCTTCTCACCTACTGCAGCAGCAACTGTCCGGACGTACTGATCCTGACGGGCCCGTTCGGAGATAGCAGCAATCACCTGTTCAGCACGATCGCCGAAACCTTCGAGGAATACTTTGAGAAGATCATCGTCAACATCATGAATTCGGTCTCTCCGAGCACCGAGGTTCTGATCGTCTCCAACCACGAAGACATCATATCGATGTTCGTCTATCCTTCCTTCCCGTACAAAATCAACCGATACTTCAAGAACCTGCGCTTTCTGCCCGATCCGTGTGTGGTGTCGATCAACGGTCTGCAAGTCGGAATCACAACGGCCGACGTCATCAAGGATCTCTCCGACGCCGAAGTGAGCGGCGCTCCGATGGGGGACAAAGTCAAGCGGGCCTTCAACTACCTGTTCCACCATAAAACGTTCTATCCGTTGAATCCGCCGTCAGAAAACGTCCCGCTGGATGTGCATCTGTTGAACGAGTTTGGCAATCTTCCGCGGGTGCCAAACATGATGATCTGCCCTGGGGATTTGAAGTGCTACATCAGGGTGAGTTGTGTAGTCTCTCGATGGTACGAATCAACTTGATATTTGACTTTTTAAATCTTTGATTTTAGGACGTCCACGGATGCGTTTGCATTAATCCAGGTCACCTGGCGGATCAAGTCAGCGGGGAAGGAACGTTCGCTCGAGTGGTGGTCCATCCACCGGAAACGGAAACGGCCGCACCGATGAACTATGTTGTTTGTCAGGTGGTCAAATCGTGAACCTGGTACCTTAGATATTAGTTGTTACACTCATAATATGTTTTAGCTTATGGTTATTTTTTTACAATAATGATCAGTATCGTATAAATGAACCGTACAATTTTAAGCCTTTAATTTTGAAAGAAAAAAATCCATGCCCCTATATCGAAAGCGTTGTGATTTAGGCACCGACAAACCTACAGCAGGGGCTGACTTACACGCTAACTTGAAAGTACTCATTAATGAGTAAAAAAAAAGACCCATTTTGAAGAAAAGTGGCTTAACTCATTAATGATTAAACAATTTTACCCATTAATGAGTATCTGTTACCCATTAATGATTAACAATTACTCATTAATGGGTAACAGATACTTATTAATGGGTAAAAAATTTACTCATTTAACATGAGTAAATGAGTTAAGCCACTTTTCTTCAAAATGGGTCTTTTTTAACCATTAATGGGTACTTTCAAGTTAGCGTGTATACCCGAAAATTGTAAATGGCCAATTTAAATGTGCAGTGATCCGAACTGTCAAATCCATATAGGATTTTTTGATCTAGATAAACACCTCTATTCCCGTTTTCGTTCGAATCGTTCGTTCGTACGAACGACTCGATTCGAACGAGTTCGAAAACGGCATTCTCGTTTTCGTACGAACCCGTTCGAACGAAAGCTTTTTCGAAAATAAACAGTGTTAGTGGTACCAGATGCACTTTGACATTTCCTAACAATTCTAAGCATAGACCGCGCATGAAATTGACATTATTCGGTCAAGTGGACTGTCAAACGATGTCAACAAAACAATAACATTGCTGAATTTTTTTAGTTGAAAATTTGAAAATCTTACTGATTTGAAAAGATAACTTCCTGATGTCTTCTGAGAAGTTGTTAAGCAGAAAGTTGGCCACCTTTTAGGACGATTCAGTTTCCGGTAGGATACAAGTCTGTTCCTGTGGATGATCCGAAATATCCGTAAAAGTGGTCAATTCATGAAACTGATCCTAGAACTCCGCGGTTTTTTCAAAACCACTCATAAACGTCTTATTAAAAATGAATTCGGAGTTGTGACTGGAATATGGACCCTGCGGACCACGAGATGGTTCACCGGAAGATCCGGAACATCAGAAAATTGGTCAATTCATGAAACTGATCCTAGAGCTCCGTGGATTTTTCAAACCACTTATAGACGTCTTATCAGAATGTATTCGGAGTTGTGACCTTAATTTGGACTCTGGGGACTACATGATGGTCCACCGGAAGATCCGGAACATCCGTAAAAGTGGTCAATTCATTAAACTGATCCTAGAGCTCTACGGATTTTTCGGAACCACTCATAAACGTCTTGTCAGAATGTATTCGGAGTTGTGTTCAGAAATAAGAATATGGAGACTACAGAATGGTCCACCGGAAGATCCGGAACATCCCTAAAAGTGCTCAATTCATGAAATTGATCCTTGAGCTCCACGATTTTTTAGAAAGCACTCATAGACATCTTATCACAATAAAAACGGAGTTTTGACCAGACAGTTTATACTGGGGACCACGAGATGGTCCATTAAAAGATCCGGAAGATCATTGCAAGTGTTTAATTCATGAAACTGATCCTAGAGCTCCACGGTTGTTTTTTTTGTCAAAACCACTCATAAATTAATATTAATAATAACTCAATAAGACGATGTTTTCAAATGGCTTACTGAATAAATTTTGATGTGATGAATTAAAAATATAAACTTTGAAGCTAGTCCCTCGTTAACTTGTTACTCCAATGAAACATCTCCAAGAAGTCAAAGGAAATAAGTCCATGAAATCCAAGGAATAATATTCAAAAATTCCGATAAAAGTGACTAAAAGTTATTAATTATTTAAATATCACCTAGAAATCATCCATGATAATAAATAAAAAAATGTGTCTATGAGCAGTTCTAAAAAAACCATAGAGTGCTTAGATCAGTTTTCTTGACCTATCCACTTTAATGGATGTTCCGGATATTCCGAAGGACCATCCAATGGACCCTGGGGTCCATTTTCCAGTCACAACTCCGAGTTCATTCTGATGAGTTGTCTATTATTTTCCAGAGGAGCGTTCATGGTCTGCAGGGTCTGTTTTCCGATCATAACTCCGAATTCGTAATTATAAGACGTCTACACACTTAAATATTTTCGCCGAGATTCCAACAGCCGAGTAATTCTGCAATTTATTTTACTGAGATTCAGTAAAACAATTGCCGAGACTCAGCTAACAAATAACATTTTGCTGAGCTGTCAGCTAACAAACAGATATTTTGCAGAGATATCAGCAAAAGAGAATGCCGAGGTAATCGGCTTTTGGAGATTTTACCGAGGTAGATTAAGTGTGTATGAGAGTATACGAAAAAAAAACGGAGTTCTTGGATCAGTTCCATGGATTGAGCCTTTTTACGGATGTTTCGGATCTTTCGGAGGACCATCCACTGTACAATGGTCCCAAAGCCGTATTTAGGAAGACAAAAATGTTTGCGCCCATACCGTCAGTTTTAGGTATATAGTGTCTTGGGGAAAGATTCTTCATATTGTTTGGCCGATCTTTTTATGTTAGTGAAATTAGGGTAGTCCACAAAATTGGAGATTTTAAAATACATACTTTTTTTAATTATTTGCGATAGACCAATGCAATTTTCTAAAAGTTGTAGAACAATCAATTCGAAGCAATTTTGCTCAAGACACCAAATTTTTATCTCTTAAAGTTCATGAGTTATGATTTTTTAAACAAGCAGGTTAGAATGGCCCATAAAAAAAAGATTTCTCCGAATATCTTTCCATTAGTTCATTTCTCGTAAAAACCTTGTTTTGGTTACATTAAGAACTTATGATGACGCATATTTTTGCTGAAGCAACTAGGCTGCTATCTTTTTTTATTATTAGAAAATTAATGGAGATTTTCTTCGAAAAAATGATTCTATTAAAATGACAATGTCTCTAAATGGAGCAAACCGATTTTCAAACTTTCGATTTCATTTAAAAGATCGTGTTTTTTCAGTATTTGTGGGAAAACTGTGAGAGCGTTTTTTGTTTAAAGTATTAAATTTAATAAAAAAAAAATCTATTTTTTATCAAAAACTAGCCATAAATTAACCATAAGGAAATTCAAATTAGTGGCTTCTGCAAAAATATGCGTCATAAAAAGTTCTAAAAGTATTTGGAATAATGTTTTTACGAGAGGTTAGGGTGGCCCCTAGAAAATCAGCTTTCTTTAAATATTGTTTATACGTTGATCACCAATAAAAATATTTAAAGAAAGATTTTCTAGGGGCCACTCCAACCTACTTGTTTAAAATAACCATAAGTCATGAACCATAAGAGATAAAAAGGTGATGCCATGAGCAAAGTTGGTTCAAATTGATTGTTCTACAACTTAAAAAAAAACTGCATTAGTCTATCTCAAGTAATAAAAAAGGTTGAATTTTCAACTCACCAATTTTAAGCACCACCCTAATTTCAAATCGGCTAAAAAATACGAATAAGCTTTCCCGAAGACACCATATACCTAAAAGTTATGGTTTTGGTGCTAATATTTTTGTCTTCATAAATACGGCTTTTATCACAAACGAAGTGACAGACGGAGCGGCTCGAAAACTTTGGTGACTAACCTGCTATTGCAATTTTTCAGTGTACCACATGGCAACACCACTCCTACTGGATTGAACTAGCATTTTCACCAAATGTACTAGAATGTTTTGGTTCTATCTCTTTCACTCTACTCAAAACTGAAATGCATAAAAAAATGACAAAATGATACGCACTCTTTGCACACTGTCAAAGAATCATTGTACACAAAATCAACTTTGTTCAAATCAAAACAAAAAAACTAACCCATCTGGTGGATGATGGCACAAGCTTCCAAGAAAATTCTATTACAGTGAACCACATTATTTAAATGGATTTCTTCGCCAGTTAGTCGTCTGTCACTTCGTTTGTGTTTTATGGATGTTCAGGATCTTCCTGGTGAACCATCTCGTGGTCCCAAAGGTCCATTTTCCGTCTAAGCGTTCATATTCCGGTCACAACTCCAAATTCATTCTGATAAAACGTTTATGAGTGAGTTCGCAAACTCATGGAGCTCTAGGATCAGTCTCATGAATTGACAACTTTTGCGGGTGTTCCGGATCTTTCGGTGGATCATCCTGTAGTCCCCAGAGTCCAAATTATAGTCAAAACTCCGAATTAATTGTAATAAGACGTTTATGAAAGGTTTAAACAAAAACATGGAGCTCTAGGATCAGCTGCATGAGTTGACCACTTTTACGGATGTTCCGGATCTTCTTTTGAACCATCCTGTGGTCCCCACAATCAATATTCAGGTAACAACTCTGAATTCATTCTGATAAGACGTGTATGAGTGTTTTCGGAAAGTTCACGGAGTTCTAGGATCAGTTTCATAACTTTACCACTTTTACGGATGTTTCGGATCTTCCCGTGGACCATCTTGTAGTCCCCAGAGTCCATATTCCAGTCAAAACTCCGAATTAATTGTGATAAGACATCTATGAGCGGTTTCGAAAAAAAAACACGAAGCAGTTTCATGAATTAACCACTTTTCAGGATGTTCCGGATCTTCCGGTGAACCATTCCATGGTCCCCAGAGTACATTTCCCGAACACAACTCCGAATTTATTGTGATAAGACGTCTATGAGTGGTTTCAAAAAATCCGTGGAGCTCTAGGATCAGTGTCATGAATTGACCACTTTTACGGATGTTCCGGATATTATAATGGATCATTCCGTAGTCCCCAGGGTCAATTTTTTGTTCATGACTCCGAACTCATTCTGATAAGACGTCTATGAGTGGTTTCAACAAATCCGCGGAGCTCTAGGATCATTTTCATGAATTGACCACTTTTACGGATGTTCCGGATCTTCCGATGAACCATCCCGTGGTCCCCAGGGCCCATATTCCAGTCACAACTTCGAATTGATTCTGATAAGACGTTTATGAGTGGTTAAAAAAAACCACGGAGCTCTAGGATCAGTTTCATGAATTGACCACTTTTATGGATATTCCGGATCTTCTGGTGAACAATCCCGTGGT